GCTTTAGGGCATTAGCCAAATTATTTTTCTCTCTCCATCTACTCATTAATCCTGAAATATCTTCCATTCAATAAGCAAGCATTACTTATTTGTTTCAACAAATGGTGCCAGCAGAAATGTACAGCCCTGATATTTTTACTCACGGGGCATATTTGATGGTCTCTGGGTGTTTCCATCAATTTTAAGCGTATATGCAGAAAAATATACTCATGTCAAATTTTAAAGAAGCGCCTTTTTATTAAAATCGATTGTGAAGTCGCTGGAGGCTGAGTCCCTGAAATAGCAGCATCTGGTGTCATATCCAGCACATAGTAGGTGTTCAACGAAGGTCTGTTCAATGGCCACAGGCCATAATGTGTGACAGAGGTAAAAGGCTTTGTTTTTAACTCAAAGAAAGTACAATCAAGGTGTCGCCACTCCCCAGAGCAACTTGAGAACCAGTTATTTAAGCGATAATGAGCTTAGGTACTAGGACAAGGGTTTCGAATTTTCAAGACACAGAAGGATTTCTGTATCTGAAATCTCTAGATACCTAAGCTATTTTTAGAACCAGTCTCTCTTTAATAGTGGCCTAATTTGGTGTTCCTGAAGTTTAAGGTTTCTTTTTATAAATCTAAAATGTCTGTCAAAATATGTATACCTGAGAGTACAAAGTGGCATGCTGCAGACACGCTAGGAGGGCTGGGGTTCTCCAGATGTGGTCTGTGAAGCATCTAATTACAAATGTTTACCCAGTATCCCAAGTGATTCTTGGACTGCTGAAATGTGAGACCCACTACTAAAGAAGAATCTAGAAAAATTAAAATTAGTAGAAAATAATAATGCAACAAATGCGTCCAAGCCACACCCTGCAAAGAGCTGATAATCGATTTGGAAAGACAAGACATAATTCACATTCAAAAAGAGATAAGCAAAAATGTATAGTAATATGTGATTGGTATCAAGAGAGGGATCCTGACAATAAATTACTAAAGAAGTAAAAACTACCCTAACTTGGGGTGATCATGCAAAGATTTACAGAGTTGGATGTGAGGATGTTGAATGCCAATTCCTCCAATTCAAGGGCTATGTTGTTGGACATGTTTGATGGGTATTTACTCAGCAGAGAGAGATTATTTGTCATTACTTCTTTAAGTATACTAGGCTCCTAGGAGGAATATTTTGAGAGTGTGCTTTTTTTTTTTGGCTGGGAATTGCAAGTGGTAATTGAAGGTAGCATGTAGAAGCAATCAGTATGCATGAATACGGCAGTACAATAGGTAAATAAAACAAGTGAAAACAGAGAGAAAAGAGAAGATCGACCAAATAGGAATTTCTTAGATTGAGTAAAAGACATACTCATCTATGAGAGAGGAAACAAGAGTTGATTGTGCCTCAGTGGCACCGATGTTTCATTCAGTCATATAAGTCACTCCCTTTGCTACAGCAAAGACAGGGGCAAAGAGCCATCCAAGAGAAGCTGCCAACAAAGGGAAGCCTTTTTGAGACTCAGGTGTGACCGTGAACGGAGTACAGTGTCCCATTCGCTTTGTGCTTCCATTTCTTTATCTTTCTGAACTTTTCTGGGTTGGAACTCCAAAGTCAAACCACCTTACATTTGTATACCTTTTCTTCTCTCAGGGAGAATTAGCTTTGAATAATAAAAATTGCCAAATATTGGTGTAAAATATTTCACTTTAGAGAAAACATTCATTCTTTCCATTTCTTTATTATAAAGTAGGAGAGTGAGGCAGCATCTTCCTGTTCATATCAAAATTTCATGTGGCTTTTTGTGACCTATGTGGCTCTTGGTATATATGTGTGTGTGTGCGTGCGTGCATGTGTGTCTGTGTTTTCTTTTTTTTTTTTTTTTCCCAGCAAGGTAGCATTTTTTTCCTTGAAACTTGCCTTAAATCTAACCCCATACTTGTTAGCAGACTTGAAGTTCTTTTTGCTGAATAGTGTTCACCCCGCCTCCTACATAGAAAGTGTATTGTAAACTAAAATGCTCCCTTGTAAGCAGAAAGTCATTTGAACTCCAGCCTGCCCTTCTTCAAAGTTCCTTGGACTCTGGAGCCACTTGACAATGATTCTTCCTCGGCACAAAGGGATGAGTAGGACTTATTCAGGGGGGAAACTCAACAGAGGGAACTACTATGCTTCACGGACTCTCCCACAGTGGTTTTTGATGAAATGTTCTGCCCTCCTATAGAAAAGCAGAAGGAGCAACAACTGATGGCTGTTCCTCTTTCTTCCTTTTTATTTATTTAATTAGTTAGCTGCTGAAGCTTGGCTGAGTTTCAGTCCCTCGGTCTCATAACCTTCCCTTATGTTGTGCTCTATATACAATGGTCGGCTGGCACTGCAATATTTAGTGTTACTGTTCACTTGGGTTTCTGTTGCAGAACCATATTTTAGACAGAATGTATTAGTTATGCTTACAAGAATGTATTATGCCTACATTAGCCATGGTTTACTAGGTTAATGAACTGTGGCGACAAAGAATCACTGCCGTTAAGTTGTAGAGTTGCTTTAGGTCCCTGCATTTGGCTGTCGTATTTCACTGAACTTACTTTGAAGTTGTCATCTCATCTTTTTTTTTTTTTTTTTTTTAAGTTGGTTCATTCCCTGGCTCCAAGGGTAGATTCTCTTGATGGGACAAAGACCCCTGAGCTGCTTGCATCCTCCACAATGTTCTTTGCAGACAAATGCTATTCTGTGATTCCTCAGTCCCACTTTGTTAATTTTCCATAAAGCAGCCCATACAATCCCCTTGACAATGCCAGCTTTGGTAATAATGCCTAGTTCGGTGCAGGCCGGGGTGATGCGTCTATGTTTTCTGGGAAGCAGGATTTGTTAGCGTTGGTGTTTGAAATACAAAAGATCACAGCTCTGCCTCCTGTTCAGCACTGTAGATCCATCTTTTCTTGGTGACAGAGGCTTAGGGGATGAGTCAGTCTTTCAGGCCTTGTCATGAAATTAGTTTCCTTCTTCTGCACTCAGTTTAAACCCTTGTTTGAAATCTTGGAAAATTTAGAAACGTGTCTTGGCATTTAAGAACATTATCTCTGTCTCTTTTCTCTTTCTCTCTCTCTCTTTTTTTTTTTTTTTTTTAATTTTTGCCTTAGGCCTAACTCCACCCACCACTCCTCCTCATAAAGCCAACCAAGATAACCCTTTTAGGGCTTCTCCAAAGCTGAAGTCCTCTTGCAAGACTGTGGTGCCACCACCATCAAAGAAGCCCCGGTACAGTGAGTCTTCTGGTACACAAGGCAATAACTCCACCAAGAAAGGGCCGGAGCAATCCGAGTTGTATGCACAACTCAGCAAGTCCTCAGTGCTCACTGGTGGACACGAGGAAAGGAAGACCAAGCGGCACAGTCTACGGCTGTTTGGTGACCATGACTATTGCCAGTCAATTAATTCCAAAACGGAAATACTCATTAATATATCACAGGAGCTCCAAGACTCTAGACAACTAGAAAATAAAGATGTCTCCTCTGATTGGCAGGGGCAGATTTGTTCTTCCACAGATTCAGACCAATGCTACCTGAGAGAGACTTCGGAGGCAAGCAAGCAGGTCTCTCCTTGCAGCACAAGAAAACAGCTCCAAGACCAGGAAATCCGAGCCGAGCTGAACAAGCACTTCGGTCATCCCAGTCAAGCTGTTTTTGACGACGAAGCAGACAAGACCAGTGAACTGAGGGACAGTGATTTCAGTAATGAACAATTCTCCAAACTACCTATGTTTATAAATTCAGGACTAGCCATGGATGGCCTGTTTGATGACAGCGAAGATGAAAGTGATAAACTGAGCTACCCTTGGGATGGCACGCAATCCTATTCATTGTTCAATGTGTCTCCTTCTTGCTCTTCTTTTAACTCTCCATGTAGAGATTCCGTGTCACCACCCAAATCCTTATTTTCTCAAAGACCCCAAAGGATGCGCTCTCGTTCAAGGTCCTTTTCTCGACACAGGTCGTGTTCCCGATCACCATATTCCAGGTCAAGATCAAGGTCCCCAGGCAGTAGATCCTCTTCAAGGTAAACCTTGGCGAAACCCTAATAACACACAAGGTGTTCCTAAGAAGTGAACAAAATAAAATACAAATAAAAATTTGAAATCTGTAGCCATTCCGGCCCCTGACCACTGAAATTCTGGCGCTGCCGGAACTAACGAGAATGATGTTACACTCACATCTCTCTCCATGTTCTCTTAAATCTGTCAGCTCTGAGCACAGTGCCTTGAGCCAGTCCTATCAGAGAGAGTAATTTGTTAAGAAACTTGCTCATCTAACTTTTTCCATTACCTGGAGAGCTGCCCTGTGCCAGGATAGTGGAGATCCATGCAAGATAAAGCTGACAGTGTACCGGACCTGGTGCTCAGTGTTAACATCAATAAGAGACGCTGAGAGAGAGCACATCACTCCCAGCCCTCTAAGCTGACTAGCTGATCACAAACTGTCACTGGGAAATCTCACTAATAGCTGGGAAGAACAAGCCAGTCTCTGTAACACAGTGTCCCAGAGGATGCTCCACAGTTCCAATAAACTTGGGTTAAGTGGCAGTTGCAAATGCCCTTTTTGTTTTTCTCATCTGTCGCAGATCCTGCTATTACTATGAGTCAAGCCACTACAGACACCGCACGCACCGAAATTCTCCCTTGTATGTGAGATCACGTTCAAGATCGCCCTACAGCCGTCGGCCCAGGTAATGAGGCATGTCATTTTCCTTCGGGTCCCTTTATCCCCTCCTTGAGATGACAAGATGTTCTCCAAAACCCTATACCCCTCCCCATATTATTATTCATTTTGCTTATGCAAATTGAGGTGGTTGACTTAGTGATGAAGTTATGTTTCCCAGGTATGACAGCTACGAGGAGTATCAGCACGAGAGGCTGAAGAGGGAAGAATATCGCAGAGAGTATGAGAAGCGAGAGTCTGAGAGGGCCAAACAAAGGGAGAGGCAGAGGCAGAAGGCAATTGTAAGTGGCCTGGAGCTCACTTTTATTTTAAAGTAGGGTTTCTTCTTTTTCTGTGTGCTTTTTTTGGTGATAGATTAGAAAATAAACAAAAGCTAAGTCTTTGTTAGTTTGTTAGAACAGGCCATTTTCAGCCTTTTGGCTTTAAAATATCCGTAAGTCTTCAGTCCCCGTTGACCTAACTTATTGGAAAACAAAATGTTTAAGTCAGTATATTTCTCACTCACAGTTTCATTTGGAAGTTCGTTACTGTTTTCACCTTCTGTTTTGAAAAATGGAGGGAGCAGAGATTTTTTTTTTTCAGTCAGATATTGGTTCTTTCTGGTCACAGGATGAGTTTTTCTTTCTGTTTCCTGTTACTTCTCTCTTTGAGTGGAAATGAGGAGGGATTGCTATCTTGTTTTGTAGGAACCGAACTGTCGATTCCCTCCTGGGCAGGGGTCGCCGCGAAGGATCACCGACACGAGTTTCACAGCAGAGAGTTATTTATTACTAGCGTGCTAGGGTCCCAAGCTCTAAGTTGGCCCTGGGACCCCGACTGCTTGTTACATGCTGTTTATATAGGCAAACACAAGTTCAAACACAGCTTATGGCGCGAAATTCAAACAAAGCTTAAGGCGCAAAATAATTGGGTCTAGCTATGGCCTGAGCAAGGTGTCTTGTTCTAATTGGTTAGAGCAGGACCTTATGAGGTCCTTTCCAGGAGTTGTTAATTCTGGGAACTTCGAGGCAGGGTGGGACCCCCGGAATTGGCAGGGTGGGACCCCATGAGGTTGTTTCCTGGAATTGGCAGGGTGGGACCCTATCTGAGTGGGACCCTATCGAGGCAGGGTGGGACCCTATCTAGGGCCACCTGGTGCTAATTTTTTAAGTTTTATGAGGCCTAGTTTCAGTTTCAGTTTTTGTCTTTTTGGCCAGCAGGAGACTTAAATTGTCCATGAAGAGACTGAGTTCAAGTTGGATTTAAAAGAGGCAGGGGAGGAAGAGTTGCTAAGAAAGTCATCATTTCTGGCCGGGCGCAATGGCTCACGCCTGTAATTCCAGCACTTTGGGAGGTCAAGGCGGTTGGATCACTTAAGGCCAGAAGTTTGAGACCAGTCTGGCCAACATAGGAAACAGGAAATAACGTAGGAGACAGGAAACTTTGTCTGTACTAAAAACACAAAAATTAGCTGGGCTTGGTGGCACATGCCTGTAATCCCAGCTACTCGGGAGGCTAAGGCAGGAGAATTGCTTGAACTGGGGAGGTAGAGGTTGCAATGAGCTGAGATTGCATCACTGAACTCCAGCCTGGGTGACAGAGTGAGACTCTGTATTAAAAAAAAAAAAAAAGAAAGAAAGTCATCACCTTCTGTGTGATGGTCGCCATCTAACTGGGTAGTTGACACACCCACATTTCTTACGAACTACTTTTCAGTGACATTTTATGGATTTCAGCACCACTTACAAGGAGGTATTATATTCACTTGACATAGAGACAGTGCTGACCCTTCTGTGTAAAGATCCAGGTTATGTTATATTTATTTGCTCTCTGAAGATCAGTACTCATTTTCAGCAACTGCTGACTAGTAGGTAGGCTTTACCCCAGCTCCCTACTGCTGTTTATCAACCTAGACTTTGGATGGCAAAAATAAGGCAGTCCAGTTGTCAAAATCCAGCCCATGCCCATGGCAGACATTCCTAATCGATAATGGAACTCTTTTCCATTGAGCCCCCTCAGAGCCTTACGATCTTTTCTGACATTGTGCTCTAGGGAACCATGACTAATCAATGAGATATAGCACTGCTTTTATTCAGTGCAGCTGCTGCCTGTCTGTGCTAGCCACTCAGAGTTAGCTCAGTGAAGATCAGCTTTTGACATATCTTGCATCTAAGTTAGCCACGGCTTAGGGAAATGATTTTTGACTGTAAAGGTTAGATTTATATGTTATCTTTAAGAAAACTCACTAACATCAACACAACTTTGCAAAACCTATATAAAAGAGCTGACTAATGGAATCAAAATCAAGCATTGGCCAACAGTTACCAGCTGGAGGATAAAGGTTAAATGAGAGATTTGCTCAACACAGGCATTTAAGGAGAAAGAAGGGAGAAGTAATTGAACACTTGGGCCAAAGTTTTGGAGGGTTTGCTGCCATTTAACTTTGAATCTACCTAAGACTGAATCAAAGGCATTTTGCAAATTACAACAATTTGCCACATTTTTCTCAACTTCCAAATGAGCAGTGATATTAAGATTTGCCAAAGTGTCATTAGTTAACACTTATGAAGACTAATGAAAATTAAAATTCAATTTTTCTAATGTCACTGTATTTAATTAATGGTGTATTCAATAATTATAATAACTCACATTTATATAGTGCCATATAATTTACAAAGCCTTTTAATATGGCACATTATAATCATTACAAAAGAAAATCATGCTGAGCAAGCATGTAGGAAAATGACTATTTTGGTGTTTGCAAATTTATATTTTATAAAATCCTTCATTTTTCCCCCCAAAATAGGACATTAAAGAGAAAGATTAATCGTTTCATCATAAATTTGCTTATATGGCCAAGACACAACATAGTTATAACTAAAGCCAGATTAATATTTTAATCAAAAGTATGTAAATAAATGACGTGTATTTATTTTATGCCTTCTAAAGATGATTAAGTGCCAGATATTAACAAAGAAAGGAAGGAAGTTGTCTTTTTTGTTGCTAGTTTGACCCTTTACAAATAGAGCAAGTAGTGTCATTGGTCTAGATGAAACAAAAGCACCCTGAGGGTGACCAGCCTCAGCTTGGAAGCAGATGCTACCCTATTGTCCCTTTGTGTTACAAATGTTGACTAGTTCCTCTGTTAATTCTTAGATGAAAATAATCTGTATCAATTCTCTTCCAAAGCACACTTGTAATACAAGTGTCAACTTGGTTTATATTAAATCATTTTACATTAACTAGACATTTGTGAGAATTTTGACTTTAAAGTTCATTTTTGTTTTTGAAAAGTAGATTGAAGGAAACCTAGAACATAGAGATTGTTTACTAACAGAGTGAACTATAAGTGATAAGTGCTTAATAAAGATTTGGGACTTACTGTTTAACCAATTTCCACTTGGATAATTACATGCTATTTCTATTGAACATGAGTGAAAACTCATAGCTCTTTCTGTAATAAATATCTGCCATGTGGTTGGGATATAAAATTAGGAAAGACATGGTCCCTGTATCCAAGGAACTTCAACTCTACTGGCAGACAAAGATACACAAACAGACAATACAGTGTGATAAGTGCTATTATAAGGGGTGCATCTGTGGCACTGTTGTGGTAGTATACTAGGGGGCACCCAGATCTCTGTAGGAAGGAGAACCTCAGACAGGGTGAGATTGATCCAAATCCTAAAGGGAGAAAGGACAAAGGTTTTCTCCCCCTGCAGTGTCCAACATGGTAGCCTTTAGCCACATGGCTAATTTGATTGGGTTATATTATGATGTACTGTGTGATTGGATTTAGAAGACTTGGTATAAAAAATAGTGTAAAATACTTCATTAATCTTTTTATATCAATCACAAAATGATATAATAGTTTGGACATGTTGAGCCCAATACAATATATTATTAACATTGAATTTTTCCTATTTTTACTTTTTTAAATGTGGCTCTTAGAAAATTTTAAATGACATATACTACACTGTATTATTACTGGACATTGCTGTTTTAGACAGAGGCTATAGCTTATACTAAGTCTCTAAAAAAGAATAAGGTATATGGAGAAACTACTAGTCATTTAATTAGAACACTGAGACACAAGAGGGACAAGAAATAACTCTAGAGGGAACAGTGGAAGGTAGCATAAAGGGTCATATAATTCATACTAAAGATTTTGAAATCTGTCTTGAAGGCATCGTGGAACTATTTAATGAGTTTACCCACATGAATTTTTTTGGATTGATTTCCTTCCTCCAAATGGTTGGCTTTCTAGCGCCATAATGCATCCCCAAAGTATATTTTTATGGACTTGAGTGCAGGGATACATGCAATGATTTTTAACTGATTTGAAAAAATTAACTTGAGAATTCATACATGGAAGAGCTAAGGGAACGAGGACAGTCCAGACCTAAGTTGGTCAGGTAGGTGATGTTCTTTCAATTTTTGAAACACCCTTAAAGTAATGAGTAAGAAGTAAATTACATCTAAGATATCTTGGGTGCAGTGTTGGGTTATCCATTAATCAAAGCAATCATATATTTAGGGAACCGGAAAAACAGAGGCTCCAAAAGGCAATGAAAAAAAAAAACACTTTAGAAATTTAGTAATTGTTATTTTACAAAATTAAAGGCATCTTTATAAACCTTTGTCTGCATTACTTCTATTTTGAGTTCCATAAGTAGGAGGTGTTTTAGGAGATCTGTAAACTTTACATTGCTTATGTTTCTAAAATCCTAATTCAGCCCAAGTTGAGTGAACCAAATCCAAAAGCAAAGAGAATGCTAATAATTAGTAATTACCAATGCAAAACCATATATTGTGGTTGAATGTTACCATTGTTTCGGTTGGCACTTTCCTGTAATTTCCATCCAGACTCTTTCTCAAAAAGCAATTCACTTTCTGCCTTTCTCAGACTCATAAGCTTGAAATAATTCAGGTTATATTGGGACTCTGCAAGCCAGAGTTTAGTACTTAATGTCTAAACTGTCACTGCTCTAATTTCTTGTGGAGTTCTAAGTCCAACTCCATTTGCAATCTGTACAGTTTTCTGCCAGAAAACATGATAATGGGATGTTAATTTAAAGGGCAAATCTATACATTATGATACGGCTCAGCACTTAAAACCAAAACCAGATGTGCTCGGGCAGCAATGACTGCTACTTTACTTCTCAGTTGGTCAGTGTCCAGCTCAGAAGCCAGGGATAGTATATTGCTACTGATAATTATAAACTTCTTCCAAATGGAATGAAAAGAAATTGTGCAATTACTCAGAGTTATTCCTTTTTTTTTTTTTTTTTGGGACGGAGTC